AACATTTGAGTGTTATAAATCTATCATTTGTATGGACAAATGCTCAAATATCTCATCATCTCTTTACTTTCATTCATCTTCAATGGCTAATAAGTTTTCGTATGGTGTAATTTTGGGCATGTTTTTGTTGTTTACGATGTCACGAGTTTGGTGGGAAATCACGAATGGACCACGAGGTTAGTATACCAAGTTTTTCGTATACGATTATAGTTTTGTATAGATTTTGAGTATATGTATATATAATTTTGATACAAATTTGCTTATTTTTTGCAACAGTTTATAGGTACAATGAATGGCTTGACAGACTTTTTGAATCTGGATTTGCCTATCTTCGCGTCGGATTCCACGAAGATCAAAAGTACTTTAGGTCTTATTTTGTTCAATAGATAATTAGTACACATACTTATCAATGCCATGTTTGTATTTTGATTTAAACTAAGAGAAGGTTTCTTAAGAGAATGTGTAGCGTGGCAAAAATTTATTTATAAGTAATGTTTTGTTTTGGTTGTATTGGGCTTCTTCCAAATGAAGTAATTTCTTGTTCTCAACTCCTTCTGTATGATAATAAATCTATGAAAACGGGTCATTTATGGCGGATCCGGCACAGAAGTCACTCTAGCTTGGAGTATTAAATCCTAGCCCACGTCTACCTCGACGATTATTTAGACAATTTTTTTTTTAAATTTGATAAAAAAAAAGATATTCAAAATTTAAAAGAATTACTTAAATAAATTTATCTTTAAAGTTTATTCAAAATTTTAAGAAAGTTTATTCAAAAATAAAGATTAAAACTAGAATGATATATATCATAAAATATTGTATTTTTCGTTTTATGTCTTGAAAAGAAATGATAACTTTTAACCGATACTTCACTTTTCACATATCACTATATATCATAATGCAGGTAATCAATATATGATAGAATTCTATCTAAGTACATAGAATAATTTTAAAATCTATCAAATTATACATAAAGTTCTTTGAAATATAAATAAAATTCTATCAACATGTGATAGAATTCTATCTAACTATACAAAGAATTAACACATAATATAAATCTATATAAATGTACAAAAAATTCTAATAATATAAATCTATATAAATGTACAAAAAATTCTATTTCATATACATAGAATTCTATCACCATATTATAAAATTCAACATATAATAGAATTTTATCTAATTATAGAAAACATTCTATCAGGATATGATATAATTCTATCTATATGATAGTATACATAGAATTCTATGAACATTATGATAGATATAATTATATCTAACTATACATAAAAATAAAAATAAACTCCAACTGAAATAATCTTTAAAATAATTATCGAACTCAATCATTCTTATGTTTTTTTTTGTGATCTCTACCTTTCATTATCAGCAAGCATATGCAAATATTGAATTGTTTAGTTCCCTTGATGATTTCCAACCAAATATTCTGCTGACTCTGATTG